GAGAGAGAGAGAGAGAAGAGAGAGAGAGAGAAGAGAGAAGAGAAGAAGAGAAGAGAAGAGATAAGAAGAACAAGAGAAGAGAAGAGGAGAGAGATAAGAGAGGAGAGAAAAGAAGAGAAATAAGAGTAGAGATAAGAGAGGAGAGCGGAGAAAAGAAGAGAAGAGAAGAGAAGAGAAGAGGGGATAGATAAAGAACAGAAGATAGGGAAAGATAAAGAGGAAACATGGGAGAGAGGGGAGAGAACATAAAGTATGAGGGAGAAAGAGAAGAGCAAGGGGAGATGAGAGAGATGAGAAAGAACAAAAAAAGATGAGAAGAGAGAGAAAAGGGTGAAGAAAGAGAGAAGAAAATCAGGGGAGAGATGAGAGTTATGTCATGGACAACGATGGTCATTGTCGTTCATTACAGGAGGGAGAAGAAGAAGGTAACATGGACGACAATGGGTTCTCTCGTTCATGACAGAAGAGAAAGAAAGAAGAAAGATGAGAGTGAAAGGGGGAAGGAGAGAAGGAACGTGGACGGTGATGGGCTTCGTCGTCCATGGTAAGAGAGAGAAAGAGGGAAGAGGAGAAGAAGCATGAACGGTGATGGGTTCCACCATCCATGAGAAGAGAGAGAGAGTAAGAGAGAACATGGATGACGATGGGTTCTGTCATCCATGATAAGAGAGAGAGTAAGACAGAACATGAATGACGATGGGTTTTGTCATCCGTAACAAGGGAGAAAGAGATAGGAGAGAGAAAAAAAGGGACACGCTCGGCTATAGGCATCGCCGTGCATGTCAGAAGAGACTCAGACATGACCTGGCCTGCCACTTGGGAAAGAGACCGGGTCTGTGCCTTTGTCAGGGGATAAGAGAAGAAATGTCATGCACGACGATGAGCATTACCGTATACAACATGGGGAAGGAGGAACTTAGACAGAGGCCCGGCCCACCACTAGGGTTAGGGCCTAGCTCACCGTGTTCATTTCATGAGATCAGAAGAGAAGGAGAATGTCATGCTCGGCAATGGGTATCGCAACGCATGACTGGGGAGGAGAGAGAAAAGAAAGAATAGAGAGAGAAAGAATAAGAGAGTGTGAAGAAAAGGAAAGAAGAAAGAGAGAGGGAGGAAAGTAGAGAGAGAGAAAGGAGAGGAGAAAATGGGAGAAAGAAGAAAGGAAAGTAAAGAGAGAAAGAAAGAGGAGAGAGAAGATTAAGAAAGGAAGAGAGAAGATTAAGAAATGGAGAGAATGAGACAAGAAAGTGTAGGAGAGAGAAAAGGAAAGGAAGAGAGCAAAGATTAGGAAAGAGAAAAACATGCACAATAGGACTTACTGTCGTGCATGTTGAGAGCGAGGTGAAGAGAGAGAAATAGAGAAGATGAAGAAGAGAAAGAAAGGGAGAAGAAGAAGAGAAAGAAAGGGAGAAGAAGAAGGGAAAGAAATAAAGAAGAGCGAGAAAGAAAGAAGAGAAGAGGAGAGAGAAGAGATGAGGAAAGAGAAAATTACCTAGGGGTATTGGGCTCTTTCTTTTCTTCTCCTCTCTCTCTCTCTCCAAGACGTGCCCACAATCTCAATGTAAAATCTAAATTTTATTCATTCAGTTGAAGGTACTTTATAATGAGACATAACATGTATTTAAAAAATTGGGTCCAAAACATTAGTGGATGCCCAAAACTTACCCTAATTGCTAAAAAATATAATTTATTTGAATTAAAAGAAAATCTAAAAGTGGGTGTAAAATTATAGTTTTGCCCCTGCCCAACAGTACACGAAATTCCAAAACAATCCTTGTTGCAACCATGGAATGTGTTCGATTTTTCTAAGATGATTAAGGGTTGATCTGGCTCCCGCATAGCGAAAAGATGATTAATATCTCATTGGGCTCGGCATGGAGATTAATTTGATACTAACATCGAGCCACAGATCATGTTTTTGGGCCACGATCATGCGACTTGAAATTTGTATGAAACTTGAAAACTTCCAATCGATAGTGCACTTATTTCTTGATATATTTCCTTGGTTTATTTGTTGAATTACACTGAGAATGCCGTCACAATCGATTTGCAATAAACGCAGCTCGATTTCATGCCCGAACGAAGATTTTATAATTTTTGGGTTTTGGCCGGAATTTGAATTTCGACGGTAGGAATTTTGCATTAGCTTTAACACCTTTGTACACCAAATCTACCCATTCATCATGCACGGGGTTCAGACCAGACATAGCCGTGGACCTCACACATGTAATACAAATGTTTCACGTCGATCGAGTACGCGAGCGCCGTGATATGGCTGCTCGAGTGAAGCGTGCTACTGCTTATTTTCTGCAACTCTTGTTCTCAAATCGTCATCTAGCTATTCTCCCTGCTCTGAAATCGTCACGATACGTGCTACATATCAAAATTCTCTTCTTGATGAGACGAACAATCTCTCCAAATTTGAGTGTGACCTGTCTCGTAACGAGGGAGATATGAGTCCCGAAAGTTATTGGTCATGACTGTGAAAACCAATTGCCTTTAATGGAGATTGGTGTAGGGAGAGCACATGGGAATAACGTGAGGCTTACCTGTAACAATCCTAAAATTTACAAAAAAAAAAAAAAAAAAAAAAAAAAAAAGGAAGAAAAGATGTTTTTAAATAGGTGATGGTCTGATTTAGTATGATGGTCCTTGGGGACCATCACTATTTTCAAAACTTTTTACTTGGTTTAAACTTTTGCTGCTGCTTTGGTTTGCAGCCTTTGCAGTTGTTGCTTGCTGCTGGCCACGTCCTTTAGCGGACGTGGTTTTCGTATGT